TCTTGCTTATATCTTGATTGACACATACCTTTATATTTATGTTTAAACTTGTCAATTCTATTACTATTTTTTATGTCCGCGCTTAAATTATTCCATAGTTTTACCCCACTTATGGTACTCGTTCTATATTAGCTCCCCCAATTTTCAATTGAAGTTCATTATCTAGTCTACGATTCCCAAATACCATAAATTTAGTTTTATCCAAATTCAGAGATAGTATATTACTATCGCACCATTTCTTTATCTTCTCAAGTTCCTGTGAAACCCATCCAGATAGTTGCTGTAGGTTTTCACCTGATGCCCATATGATAGTGTCATCAGCAAACAAAACCACTTTCACTAAATCAGAAACCTTGCATATATCATTAATGTATAATATAAGTAATTTAGGTCCCAAAACAGAACCCTGAGGCACTCCATGTACAATATCCAGCTCACTTGATTGGTATTCACCCAACTTCACAAATTGACGCCTCATGTTTTGACTACTGCTCTGGGCAGCTGCAAAGCTGGCACCGGGAGTTGACACGGTTTGGCGTTCCTGTGTAGGATGGGGTTAGCCCGAAGTGATATAATGTATAGGCCTGTTGTGGTTCGGGGTCTTTCATCTTACATCTGCCTGCATGCATGTTGGAGGTGCAAGATACCTGAGCGTGTAATGTTAATTTTTACCTGTGTTCATTGAATAAATCAGCACTGTTTTGAAGTTACTTGAACTGCTTCGTCTCTCAGAGTTAACGTGGTGAAAAGAACTGGATGCAACACAGACAAACAGGCTCAGCTAGGCCACAGCACATCTGAAGAGGCTAGAAATACTGCAAACCTTACATTGAAAATCTGGTGGTGAATGCTAATGATATTTTAACATGAAAAAACTGCTGGTAAACAAATGCAGTCTGTTGGTAACGGATCAGGCAAAAAGCAGACTTCGTTAGTAGTTAAGAAGCAGCAAAGCTGTTAAAATCAAAATATACACAATGAAAGATCACTATTATGACAGAAAAGCAGCACATTTCACTGCTAATGCTGGTTAAATGCCTCACATGAACATTGTAAGATTTGATTCTTATAGGCTCTAGTTACTTTATAAGCTTTAGTTACTTTTCACAGCTTTCATTCCCTTTAGTTACTTTTCATACCTTTGTTAGGTAATTTCTTAGTCAGATAGATATTGATTAGATATTTGTTGTATTAGTTTAGTGGAGACAGGATGTCTAGCTCAGGCTGTTAAATGCTTAGTTCATTGTCATGAGTTCTGCAGGCTACATGTCGGCCCCAAGGACAACTAGATAGAAATAGTCAATATTGAAAAGAAGGAGAGAACATGGCGAGTTTCATCGGTTGGTACAGGAACTGAAGTTGTATCATGGTCGTTTTAGGACCTATTTCAGGATGTCTGTGGGACAGTTTGAAGAGTTGTTGGTGCTGTTGACCCCCCACACGATAAAACAGAAAAATAATTACAGGGATCCGATCAACTCAGAACAACGCCTGGCCGTGTGTCTGAGGTAAAAATAGAAAAAATTGTTTATTTGTAATGAAATCAGTTTAGTTCACAAGCAAGTGAAGATCCTCTGCTATCCCTCTCCATACGTTATCTTTGTATTCATTATCTTTGTAGCTTTTGTCCTGTTAGGTAATTTCTTAGTTAGATAGATATTGATTAGAGATCTGTTGTATTAGCAAATGTTTAGTGGAGCCAGGCTGTCTAGCTGATGAGCTTGCTGCAGGCTGCATGTGGGCCCCAAGGACAACTAGATAGAAAAAGTCAGCAGGCAGGATGAATATTGCTATTATTATGACATGTTCAGCCGTAATCTTAATCATAATATCTTCCGAGGCTTACTGTTCGGACATGTCCCTGAATGTCCTGTATGTTTTTAGATACACACCACGAAATCAACAGTCACACACATTGATTTGCTTCATGTTTTGACTACTGTTATGGTCAGCTGCAAGCTGGCATATCATGTGACGTCACGGTTTGACGTGCCTCTGTAGAATGGGGTTAGCCCAAACCAGATAAATTGTATAGAGATCTTGGGTTCAGGGTCTTTTTTTCATTCTCCGTCTGCCTGCGCGCAGTACTGGAGGTGGAAGATACCTGGACGTGTAATGTTAATTTTACCTGTGACCCTTTGAATAAACCAGCACGGTTATTTTTTATATATCCAAGTGGTCCGCCTCATCTCTCTGAGTTCCTGGTTAAAAGAACTGGGTAATATCTTTCACCTTTATTTTCCTTGTTTATACATATTACAGCTGTATTGATGATTGTCCAGAACTACTGAGCTTTGGTTATTATTAATACATTTATTTTCCTTGCTTATATATCTTACAATTGTATTGATGAGAATCAAGTGATAATGAAGTAGAGTCTCCTCAGTTTGAATTCTGTTGAGGCAGGATGTCTGCATCTCCTAGTAACCAGACAGCCTATTTACATTTTAACAAAGACCTGTTGGCCTGTTTTACCCCCACACCTGGACCCACTTAGCATATTCCAAGTTCTGCCTTGCCAGGGGGTGTCCGGCAGAGCCAGGGGGCCCACAACCTGAGATGACCACCTGGCCAGTTTAACATACAAATTAGCATCACACACACAGGGGGCCTGCAACCCAGGCCACCCATGGTTCAGTGCCCATTGATCAAGATCAAGCTGACACCTGAGAGACACACACACACACACACACATACCTAGATTTTACCACATTCCAACAAGAAGGTGGGAGCTCCTGCTCACACCAAATGGCCAATAGGATCACGAACTATTGAAGGTTGGACCCCTGCCCAGGACGGAGCAGCCCAAGAAGATAAACGCATTGTAAAAACATAACTCGGGGTCCAGAGAATGGAATTCCTGCAGGAGCTCTGTCTCTCTGATCCCAGTGCTGTATGGCTTTACCTGTGCTCAGACTTCCAGTAAACCTCCTGTTGATTTTAAACAGTCCTCTCCTGTCTTTACTTCTCGTGCTTCCAACAAAAGAATCGGGATGATCTCTAACAACATCAACATCGGTGCTAAGAAAGCACAGATTGTTTTTAAGAATTCTCCAGTGAAAAGCTCATGGTGAGCACCCACTTTGTTTTTATGTACCAAGAGCATTAAAGTGACAGTAACTTTATATTAACAGCAGCGTTACCAATGCAGAAACTGTACAATGACATGTAATACAAGGTCTGCTGTATCTCCAATATATTACGTTTTAAAAGACCCAAGGGGTATTGTGACTTGCATTTGAGATAAGGTACTAAAGCGCTTTCTCCCTTTGGTCTCTCTTCAAAAATCCCGCCACATCACACAGCAGACTTGCCCCAAAACAACAACATGACACTCTGCTGACCCACACTCCCTCCCTCCTGGCAGAAAGAAAGGGGGGCGGGG